AGCTTCCCCTGTTAACTCCCCTGTAAACACATGAATATGCGGAAAAAGAGCTTGTGCGTGTGGATATTAATCTTCACATGCTAGGCCTAGATTATGAGAAGAGAAGCAAGAGATACATTTTCGAGTGTGCCACTTGCTGGAGAGTGGCTTTTCCGTGTGACATCTTACCTTAGTGATTGTCATCAAAACGAGTGCTTTATTCACTTTCTCGTCAGCCTTATAGATGGATGTCATCTATCAGTCCCCTGTTTGGCATCTGTTTGGAGCACCCCGTTTTGAAAACTGAGCTTATAACTAATTTTTTAGGATGCATAAAGCACAGTTGGTGAATTGCCTTCATCTGCAGTAACACTGGAGGCCAGAACATATCCTATCTTCAGAGGTTTACTTATATCCATACTGCACTGTTATAATGACTTGAATTGCAAAAATCACAGGGTTACCCTCTTTTGTCGACAGATTCATTAGGACACACTGTTAATTAGAAATAATCTCTGGAATACAAGATATTTTGCCGCACAAAAATAATGCCGGGGTAATTGAGCACAAAAATCTTGGCTAGAACTAATGGGTGGAAGTTAAAGACTCTTCTATTGGTGTTTCCTGCCCATTGTCGTCTTGTACCACAATCTTTACTACTGGAACCGGAGCTTCAGGAAGTTGGGGCTGGTGAAATGGTTTCTGAGGTGGTACTGAGGGAGTCATGTTTTTATCATGGATGGTAGACGGGTCTTCCAGGATGGCATATTCGTGCGCGGGACCATTTGCATTATAGCGAGATCTTTGACCCAGCACCGTCTTGTCTTGGTGTGTCCTATGTGCAGCATTCCTTCCCGCTCCACTAGTGGTGGACGGAACAGCATATTCAGGCTCAGTTCCAGAAGCTCTAGCTGTAGTCTTTCCAGTTGTAATGTCTCCACTCTTTCCATTGTGGTTTCCATGCAGAGGTATCCGATCTTCCACAACGGCATACTCCGGAGCATGTGCTTGCCCGTCTATCGATACATTAGAGGAGCTCCCTCTAATATCTTCCTTACTGCCACGCATACTTCTCTCCCCTGGTACAGGAGGCGGGATACAGAGAGTCTGGGAAGGACTCAGAGAAGGTGATTTCCAACCGGTTGTCTTTGCTGTCATAGGACCGGAGGTGGCAGGGATGACGTCGTAGTGATTGCTCTTTCGTCTCTGAATGTGTCTGCCAAGTATAAGTCGACAATGAACGCTATCGCTATGAGAAGAATGGCACAAAAGGAACCAAATATGGCCCCAACGACACCACCTATAACAAGACCAGCGTCCGAGCTTTCTGTGACCTCATCTGCACAGAAATTGATCATTGCAGTTATTCAGATAAGGAATAACAAAGTGGTGTTTTTCAAGCTATATAATAAGACAAATCATAACAAATAAATAACAAACACTAGAATCTGGGCCATACAAAACTGTAGGAGAGCTTTAATCTTGGCATCATTTTGTAAATATTTATGTCTTTTAATTGGTAGTAGAGCTAAAATGTTTTGGCATGCGCCCCATCATTTCCACAGATCTAACCGTCTGTGCAGTGAGCATATGTGTACTGGGTATATATTCACTTTCAAGCTATGAAAGAGGCTTACTTTATGCTAAGAAGTTATAAAACACCACTTCCTCTAATTTACACACCTGGTGGCAGAATGCAGTCGTTGCTTGTCGATTCAGACCCCAAAGGTCGATAGTAGCCATTGAGACAGGGGCACAGTCCCATTCCTGGTGCAGTAGAGTTACTGTTGCCAGGACATGGCCTGCACACGTCATCACCTCCTTCAGAGAACATCCCTACCGAACAAGCTGCAGAGACGGACAACAAAGACCTCGAGTAAATATGTGACATGTAGAGATACACAGTCATATATATAATTATGTCCATATTTGCCAGCCCACAGGAAGTATATTAGCTATGATATGGCTACCATAATCTCATGGGGTGGCTATCAGAGCAATATTGTAGCTAAGTACGTTGTTCAAATGTAAGCACACAGTCATGTAGTATACCTGAGCAAACTAGTTCGTCATTAACTGTCTCTGGTTGATATCCAGCCTGGCATGCACATGGTTCTGGAGCTGTAAAGAGGTAATAAATCCAACTGGCACAGTATGGGTAGTACGACTATTTACTAGTAACTTGAACAGCTTTTGTTATGCAAAGGCAACCTTACTATGCCAAACATTAGTCATGCTGCATGCCCATACACACCTCTGCACTGTGGATTTCCTTGTGGGCAATTAACAACTCTCCACAACCCAGACTCCAGACACTCCAGTCGTGGAGGTCCAGAGTCACTAGTGGACACACTGTTCTCCACACAGTGGCCCTGGAGAGTGTTCCCAGGAGAGGTGTTCTGGTCCACTCTCACCAGACCCTTACTCCCCGCCTCACACACAGGCTCATAGTAGACCAACACTCGACTGACTATGACACACGTCCCATTGTCCCTGATACCCAGGTAGAACCCAGACTGACTGAGTTGAGAAAGTTCTATCACCGTTTCTCCGACACTGATGTTAGCAACAAACTGATAGTTACTGGTGACTGCAGCTAACAGGTTGTTCTGAGTTGGAGTCTCCCACACATACAGTGACAGATCATCGACACAAGATGGAGCAGAAGGACGACAATTTGATCTTGCAGGTTTTGACTGTATCATCACTTGGAGGCTCCTCACGTGAGACGGAACCGAGATATACTGTGTTATTAACCAATTCTCTTGCCCGTCAGTCTCGCCTTCGCAAACTGAAACTTCCTGTCTGCAAATGATGCCGATAGCAGTTCCCCACTGTTAGAACAAAAAATCAACATTTACAACTGAAAGTGCTTAGCCACATTAACACTGGCTCACTATTGCTATGTTATCTCCATCCACATCCAAGGTCTGCCACACGCCACCTGTACCGTCAGACGGCTGAGGAAGTAGTAGTTCGTAGTCCCACGAGTCCATGAGTCGTCGCTGACGACTCTCGTAGCGAGTCGGATCCACGCAAGTATCGTTACCATCTCCCGGTGCCTGAGAGTTAGTAACTATTACTAGTCCTAGAAGACACGGTAACAAATTGATCCAATGTTGCATCTTCGCAACTGTAGCGTATTATCCCAGCGAGAGCTGATTATTATACGGGACGAAACGGCCATGATGCACGTAGGCGCATGCGCGTGGGGGAAAAAAGGCGCGGCCACCCGATCCACCACCACCCCCCCACTTCGCTGGCTCGTGGTCTCAGGTTTACTGCTGTCAAGGCTCTCGTGTGACTGGTGGCTCTCTGTAGTGACAGAAAAAGCAACATCACACCTACCCTCACATCATGTGAGTTATAATGCTTGCCTGCCTTGCGCTGTGCTGCCGCTAGTGAAGTTTGTTTATTGTTGCCATAACAACCACCACCTCCTCCTTCAGGTCTCGTAGACCGCCGACTGGAGGTAGACAGGCAACGGGAGGGAGACCTCCTGTGTACAGGATGCCAACTGGAGCTGGCATCGTGAGATCTCCAAAACGCAGACACACTCACCAATACTGCACTATTGTCTCTGCACACACAGCTCACACACTCACTAATACTTCACTACTGCCTGTGTTGCATGATCACTCTTTCTGTTTCCCATCTCACTCCTCTTCCTCTCTCTGGACATAATAAAAGGGCTGGGAACCATCCACAGAAGTGCTCTTATGCAAGCAAAATTCTAAGTTTGAACCTCTTCCCCCTGTGCTACGTTTTATATGGTCTCCATTACCCTTAAACTTTAGGCTTCAGACATTTCCTAATTTCCATTTCTTACTGAATCACATGAAAAGTATGTTTATAGCATGCTAGCCATAAAGAAAACCAGAAGTCACCCTCCATACACAAAGTGTGATCTCCATTACCCTTAAACTTTAGGCTTCAGACGTTTATCCATAGAGAAAAACCATAAGTCACCCTCCATACACATGGTCATCCCTCTCTCTTCTCCTCGCTTTTTATACCATCCCTATATTCCCGTATTTAAAAATAGCAGAACGTGCTTGTGTGTACGGTAATTGTAACGTATGCAGCATGTGTAAACAGGTGTTGGATTCCACTACTGATGTTGTCCATGTGTGTATTTTCCACAGGTGCCAGGTACTGCCAGACCAGGCTCCAGGAGCTGGGGGCTGCAGCTCTCGGAGGTATGTACATAATTATTGATTTCCGCCACTTTTAGCATTGAAATAACGACAAATAATACTTAACCAGCCAAGGACACATAAATGTGTCCATTGTCTCCATAAGCAGCAAGATTTTATATGGAAGTTTAATACCAGGCATTAATACTTTGTACATGGTTTCTGCTTGTATATTTGTGGTGTGGAAAGGGTTAAGGCCTACTATGTTCCTTGCACATATATACAGTTGTGTTATTTCGAAACAGTTTTGTAGCTAGAGACACGTTTAATCTGCCGGTTTACTTTTTGTGTGTACGTAACATGGTGAGTGTCGGAATGGAGAGAGAAATAAACACTTCACGGCTTCCGCAGGCCGGAAACTGGCCCAGGTGTGAAATTAGGGGTAAACATCCGTTACATCATGTACATATGTACAGAGAGAGCTTTTGGCCTATAGTGTATTCTCGTGTTAGGCACTGCAGCATTACGTCGTTCTTCTAATGTGCAGTCAAGAGTTAAACATTGGGTTATTTTCCATTTATGTCTCCAAAATGAATAATCTTAACGAATTTTTATAAAGTGCGTAGATGAATCTAAGTGGTAGTAGTAGTTCTGACGTGCACTGACTTTTTTGGTTGGATTTGCAAAAATTTTTCGTCCTGTGAGGTTATCACCATGATGTGTGAGTGTGTGTGTGTGTTGTGTGTGTGTGTGTGTGTGTACAGCTCTGAGTGCCCAGATCAAGGTGGCAGATAGACCAGTGACTCAGCAGGGACTTGGTGGTCTCCGAACTGGGTCTAAAGGTACTACGTATATTATATCCAACTCTTTTTCCAGTGAAAATATACACAGAGCTTCCTTGGGTGCAGTACTACACATCTCCTTATTATTATTCATACCAACTAACATACCAACTAAGGTTAATTCCAGTTCCCCGTTGTCTGTATGATTATGATGGAATAGGGTAACTGTTTGCTAATAGGGTGCCTTACAGTATACACCTTGATAGGGTGATCGACATTCATGTGTCAACAACGAGAATAAGAGCAAAGTAAGAGAAAAGCAAAGTAAAGGACCCGGGGCAGCTCTTTTTTCCAATTATTCGTGTCCACGGTACTCTGCAGTCAATGTCTGTATAATTATAGTAATTCATAGGGTGACATTGTTTGTTAACAATGCATCTGTAATGCAACGGGTGGCATTTATGTATATTGTTAGACTTGGTGATGTAATGCCCTCCTCACTCCATACACTGTGCAGGTCCCATGAGACAAGTGTACGACAAGTCCTACTACATGGGCCTTTTAAGGTGGCTGTGGTGTATTTACTGGGTATGGTGGTGCATGCATGTGATGTGTATGGATAATGATGTTCTGCTTCCTGTGTGAGCATGGTTCGACTTCCTTCTTGACTTCTGCCCCAATTGGTAACTTGAGTATATATGTGGTGGTTTTATTATGATAGTGGTTTGGGGCAAGGAATTCAGTCACCTACTCACCATTATCCCTATACAGTCCTTCCTCTATATTTTCCTACAGTAGCTCCTTTATATATACGTACCTATGATGTATGTATGTCATCATCTAACTTCTTTTCTCCCTCCTTCTCCCCACTTCCTTATGGCCACTGTCTCTCTCTCTCTAATGTCACCAGAGGTAAAACCCAGGAGCTGAGTCAGGAGATATCTCGACTCTCTCAGGAAATAGACTCTCACCAGAAGGAGAACGCTGCTTATCTCTCCTACGAACAGAGGTCTGTTTCAACATAGCGTATAATTTTACTTCCGTCTATCTAAGGCTGGGTTCAACAGAGGTCAGAACAGAGGTCTGTTTCAACATAGCGTATAATTTTACTTCCGTCTGTGTAAGGCTGGGTTCACAATATGTCACGTTGCCCCGCGGCATTGTGCCGTGAAGATAGAAATCTTTGCAACGTGGGACGGAGGAAAATGTGACATATTATGAACCTTCAGCCTTACAGAGGTAGCTGTATATGAATTGTCAAAAATATTGATGGTCTGGTCCGTCCATATTTTTGACAATTTTTTGACTTCATGGCTTGGATGCTACAATGCAAGGAACATTGTAAACACTGGAGTTAAGACCTTGCTTTCAGGGTTTATTAATTTATTCATGAGTTTTGGTCCTCTACGGGAGCTGAAGAGTGTCAGTGAGTTGGTGAACAGTTGGTGTTATGTATATAGTGTCGTCTCTATCCCCACCACAGGGCAGAGAGCCTGGCCTCAGAGATCAAGATCTGAGAGGAGACCTTGCAGACTACAACACCGTATGCAACCTACAGTCTAGCCTAGTTTCTATCTTGGCTTCGCGATTACCATATATAGTACAAGTCTATCACAAGTTTGTAGTGCTGCGTAGCATCTGTATAGAACTTCAGTCTTACTCAAGATATTATATATAGTATTTTAGGTGAATAAGCTGTGAAATGGACCCATGTCTTTATCACTGGGCTAGGTACGATGTATACCACGATCATAGTCAGTTAATAATGATAGCTGATCGTACCTAGCCCAGTGATAGAGACATGGACAGCTTATCCACCTAGTATACTGGAAGAAGCAAATGTGTGTGGTGGTGGATTCCCCAGTGTGATAATGGTGCATGTGTGTGTTCCCTACAGTTGATGGACAAAGTCAATACAGACACTGAGCAGGCTTCAGTCATGGCTGAAACTGCAGCGGTCAGCACACACACACACGCACACACGTACACAGAATGATACATGATGTATGTAGCTAGAAATAGATTGAAGACTAATGCAATCAAAAGTGCATAACAGTCTTTGCAAGAACCGTTTCCTGAAGGCTCATGTGAACAATTTGTTACTGCCGACATTACTCCACAAACATTACTACCAACATACATACGTACAGTACATTGCCCATTGTGTATCCACCCACAGTGTACGGTAGTAAACCACGGTAGTGCTAATTCTTTCACATGAGGTGTATCGTACGGATACTACCTAATACTCTAATGTTTACTCTTACCGTTTTTCCTTTTTTTGTGTTCTTTTTTTTTGCTCTTTTTTTGTCTCATACAGTTTAGCTACATAAGTTGACGTTTCTTTACATTTAGCATGGTCACAACAAAAAAAACTGTCATTGTCTTTTTCCTCTGCAGCTCAAGGTTCAGAATGACATGGAGTCTCGCAATATCGACGCCCTTTTTGCCGAGCGACAGCAGTGAGTTATGTACCTGCACCATTAGTAGCCACAGTCCACACACCTACAGTACGTAGTCACTATATACATTAATTAAGGTAATGTTGTTGCCCAACCTAGGATGGACACACGGTGCCTGTTTAACTAACAGCAGGTGTTTCTGTTGTGCAACATTGCGATCGCTCGCCAAATGTGTTGCACACGTGGGTGGGTGTCTTCTTGGACATACGTACGTACGCTCACATAACTGTGAACTTTTATTGAAGATGTAAAACAGTCAAAATGAAGTTTATCATACAGATAAAGAGTTGTAGCCTGTTGAGGCCAGACATGCTATAAATAAACCACACGTTCTTAAATGGTGGTTCAAAATAAGACTCCATAACACGAACACAACATTAAACTTCCAACAATTAAGCACCGTAGAGAGTGCACAGTGCATGCACGTATGTATGTATACATGGATGCGTGACTTTACTCTTGTCTAGCTACTTCCAATACATATATAGGTAGGTTAGGCCTTTCAGGATACCCATACCCACCATTATGCACTGCACACAGATTGGAGGCAAGTGCCCGGCAGATAGAGACAGACACAGCAGGGGCAAAGCAGGCTACAGAGCTTGTGATATCCACAATGGTGAGCTACGAGAGAGAGAGAGAGAGAGGGAGAGAGAGAGAGAGTTTTGTATTATTGTTTGATTGTAGGATCCTGCGACCCTTGACAAGTACCAAAGACTAAGAGCGGAGAATGAGGCCATTGAGACTGTGAGTGGGTGCATTTCCTGTTTTGTCTTTACTATAACATACTACACATGCAGTATTGTGGTTTGGGAACCTCCCTCGGCTTTTTGTTGTGACCTTTTGCACTTCCACATGACATGGTGCTCAGTATGAGCCTATAATAATTATTTCACCACATTATAGTCGTGTTTGTAAGATTTTTCTGTACAATCAAAAATCAACCTCCAGTATCGTTTTCCTGTATACGCACCATTTTCTTCTCTGTAGGTATACATATAGGCTGTAGGTTTTTTCAGCTGCCCTAGTAGTAGCTCAGTTGGTAGAGTGCTCGCCTAGACTGCAGAGTGTCGCGGGTTCGAATCCGACTCTTTTTTCCTTAGAAAGAGAGAGTTATCCTGTGCGTAGTTGAATCATTTGCATTTGCTTTGCTTTGACCTCATTGTTGACTATTGCCCCTCCCCCCATCACACCCACAGGAGCTGGCAGAGAAGCAAGGAGAGCTGGATAAGCTAGTGGGCCAAATCGGAGGCTCTGTCTCACGAGGTGGCGGGCTCAGAGCTACGTCAGGAGTCCTGGAGACTCCGTCAGCAGTTGGGTGAGGTGACTGCTCGCAGGGACGACTGGAGACTCAAAGACCAGGAAACCCCCGAGGTTCTATAAACTACACACAATCAATTAAAAGGGGGTTTGCTAGCACAATTTCACAATACTAGTGTATCATGCATGTTGATTGCCGCGTTTGTTTTAAGGTACACAAATTTCTGTCGTATGTATATACAGTGACATTGAAACGGTGTGAAAAACTTGTGGTGTTGCTATTAATGTGTGGAGGGAGAGGGTGTAGTGTGACTGGTGCATCGTGTGGTGTGTCGATCAATGCAGCAAGAGAGGGAGAGACTACTGCAGCAAGTCAAGGCTGACAACCAGGAGATTGCCTCCATGCAGAAGTCGTGAGTCAACTACGCATATTTAAATCCACTGAAATTTTGTCCGCTTGCTAATACATATGATCATTGATATTGGCAAGCAAAGCAAGCTACCTAGTCATCTGGATGCAGGATTTTCGTATATTTATATGTTGCGACCTGCAGCCACACTGCACTTGTACCGTATTGTTTTACGCGATTCTAAATACGTGCGAAAACACACGAAAAATCAAACTGCTTGCTTCGCTCGCCAAGAATGCGTGCACTCCCCTAGTTTGTAGTGTACATTGAAAAAACACCGTAGCATCGATAAACTGGCCAATGTCCACTGTCCCGTACCCCGATGGTGGCTCCTGTGTAGGGCGGGGGAGGTGGAGGAAAAGGTGGCATTGCTGCAAGAGAAGCTGCACAGAATGGAGGGAGAGTTGGAGGAAGGCATGGAGGAGAGGAGCCACAAATACACCGAACTCTGCTCCAAAGAACAAATGATCACTGGTATATACAGATGTTTACTTGTATAGTACCTCTCTTTGCATAACCACACCTTAAGACTTTTTTTTCAGCTTCCTTGTTTGACTTTTTGTGTTCATTTCAGAGTTTCTCAATGATTTCGATCAGAACAAAGCAGCAGAAGAGGTACAATATATAGTACATACAGTAATTACGTGTGTATACCAACGAAATTTAACCGTACCCACAGTTTGTACATGTGTTGCTTACTAACGTGATGCTGTGGGCAAAAGCATTCTTGTTGTTCAATGCGTATTGGTTGAAGGGTGGTAAAAATCATGTGTACGTCAATTCTTTCTCTCCTCAGGAGAAGATTCAACAGCTCGAGGCCAATATAGTGACAACCCTCAGTCACATCAGTCAGGTACGTATGGTACATATGTACTATAGTATGAAGGGAAATTGTTGGTGGTAAAATTTGTGGATTTTCAGTCCCAGCGTTCAGGTACGTAGGGGGAAGTTGTTTACAAACTTGTGTAAGCACAAACGGTATGCGAATAAGGTGTGGACATCTGGCTAGTGTGATGCACTCTGTTAGACATCGAGCGTATGTGTGTTTCCGTTGTAGTGTTTCGAGCACGGCAAACATGCTGTATATGAATGTACCGTAGCTTTCCCGAGGGCTTGGAGATTGTATGTCTGTCTGCGTGGATTGCATGGCAAAATGGTGTCACTAACAATTAAAGTATCAATCAATGTATTATTATATTATTATGCAGGGAATGACGCAGAGTCAGCAACTCCCTGAACCAGATCAGTTCCAGGAACTACAGGTCTGTCTGCCTGTGACCTGATACCTTGTGGACATTGGGAATTGTCCTTTTATCAGAGGTGTCCCTTATTTCGAGGTATTGTATGTGTATGGGGCAGAACCAAGTGTCTTTATTTGGAGGGGTCTTTTTTTGGAGGTTTAACTGTACTAAGTAATTTGTCATACACTAGCCCCGGCTTCTTGTGTACTTTAATCCCAAGTCAATTGTGTATGTGCGTGCATGGTGTGCAGCAAAGCCTCCGAATAATGGACACCTCTCTCTTGAGTACAGTTGGTGTTCTGGCTCTTGCCAATACTCATGAGTAATGGATTATGTCCCTCCTGAATAAAGGACACTTCGGATGTGCCCCTTGTTCAGAAGTTTCAATGGGTGTTTGCGGTGTGTTTTGCAGGCTGACTTGGCTTTCAAGCAGGAGGAGAAGGAGAAGTCAGAGGCCACTGCCATATCTCTTGACTCAGGTGAAGGCTCTTATTCCTCCCTTCATCCACTTTCCCTCCCTCCCTTTCTTCTCCCTCCCTTCCTTTTGTCCCCTTCCCCTCCATCCCTTTCTTCTCCCTGTGAATTATGAATGCAAAATTGCGTTTATGTTTGTTCTGTATAACCTGCAGAGAATCAGAAGCTACAGCAGGACCTGGTGAAAGTTGAAGAGGTACGTACTAAGAATAAAAAGCGCCTTTCTAAGTATAGAGATGTTTCAAATGTCCACTACTATAGAGATTCCACTGTTATGTAGCTACTATAATTATGAGATGAGATACTTGAGTTTATCCCGTTGTACACGCACACAGGGATTTAGAAAAGCTTACATTATGTCAGTGTTTGTAAGAGCCAGTGCTAATACAAACCCTGGCATATCTGTTTGAAGGGAATGTGTCCGTAGGAATTCAATGCAAGAATGCAATTAAGTTTACATTTTCAGTCTATTTTATACTGCCACCCTCCCTTTAAGTGCTCCTAGCATTAAAAGGTGCCCCTATCCATACTAATACCCTCACTTAACCATCCTGCGTGCGTATACAGCTGGAGGGTAAGGTAACTCGAGAATTGCAGTCTCTGGGAGAAGAAATAGACAAAATGACTCAGGTCAGCCAGCGTTGATCAAGTTCTACCAGTATATGTACGTATAGATCTGACATTGGACTGTAACAGGAGATAGAGGAGTTCACTGATATACCAGCTCTACAACTGAGAGAAGAAGAGACACGACAAGTGAGACTAGATTTAGAGCAACACCGTATGGTTTCATACCCTCAGACTGTGTAATAACAAGTGGAAAAATCATTTCTTCAAAATGAAAGGGGGATATAGGGATGGCTTGAAGCACCAAAAAGGAAGAAACAAGGGGTCATTACACAGCAAAGTTGCACAAAGCTACATGACACCATC